ACAATATAAATTATATATATATATATATATATATATATATATATATTACACTAATGAGTGTGAATAAGTACTAATCTTATCTATTAAATAACACTTCATATAAAAGTGTTTCACTTTATATTATATACAGGTACTATACAAAGTAATTGACTTAAATGATAAAACAATAAAAATGTGTAGAATCAAGGTTATTTATAAATCATGAATTAGTACCGGAGAAATAGTTTTTCAGATGATAATTTGAAAACCAGCCCTAAATATAACCAATGACATTCACTAACAAATAAGTGACCCAGGTCCTCCGCTCAGTACACTTATGAGGCTTGGATATGTTGTAGAGTATATGTCCCTGATAACATACATCTAAAAATTAGGTGCTTAATCCGGTTATTTGGTGTCCATTTCTGGCCGCAAAAGTCCGCCGTCAGTCCGGGTGACGTGAGGACTAATTTCCTTGAAGTGGTCGGCTATTCAAAGAGTCAATCGGATGCCAGATATGATGAGTTGGCCAATAAGTATCCGCTCGCAAGAGTTGGTGAGTCTAAAGTTTGTTTGCTTTATTTATTAATTAAATAATCTTTATCTAATATAGAAAAAATGCTATGTCAATCAATGATAAAGTTGTAAAAAATTATATATCATGTTTTATTTATTCATAAAATTAATAAATTATAATATATTTAATAGTAGTATAGTAATACTGATTAGTAGGGTGGATTCCCGTACATTAGATGTATAATACATGTGTATTATTCTATGTATTATACATGTACAATACATGAAAACATTTACCATACATACAAGAAATATTGCCCTCTATTGAGAAAACTGTCGAATTTCTGATTATTTTCAATATTATTCAAACATAAGTCTTATAAATATTGTTTGAAAATCAAAATTATTATTTTAATTAATTTTATTTGATTAAAAATGAGTAAAAGTAAATCAAAATCATGTGTTTAGAAAACTTTTGCCAAAATGGAAAATTTTGCCAAAATGGATGACAAGAATTTTTGAAATCTACAATAAAAATATCAAAAACTGAGCTGGATTGAAAATTAAACTTGCAAAACATTTCAAAAGTTAATTCTTGATTAGTATTATATACAATTAAGTTATAAAATTAGATTAACTATTAAGTGAGATATAAATCAATATTTCCTATTATTTATGCCTATTTAGAAAAATACACGATATACATTGTATAATACATGTATAATACATGACGGAAAAATATCTTGTATTTTTTCCACCCTACTGAATAGTTGTAGAATAATAAATCATTTGGTATTTTTAAATAATTATCAATAAAAATAGAATTAAACTAACGGTATCCGGTATAAATTTTGCACTAAACATTTAATTAAAATATTGTAACTTATAATAATAATAATAAATTAAAAATCATATCATTTTAAAGCTTTGTTTTCAGACAGTAAAACAAATAAGAAATGATTTCAATTGAATTTGTAATCAATAAATAATGACTGATATACGAGAGGTAGTCCTCAACCCCTTTTTGCTATCAATGCAAAACCCATTATAGAAATGTATGTGTTTTTGAAACGCGTGACACAACACTGTTCTCGTAATGCTATTCAATGGGAAACTCTCGTAATGCTATTCAATGGGAAACTCTCGTAATGCTATTCAATGGGAAACTCTCGTAATGCTATTCAATGGGAAACTCTCGTAATGCTATTCAATGGGAAACTCTCGCAAACCCCTTATCAGGACTGCCTCTCTTTAACAGTCATAATTTATTTATAACAAATTCAATTGAAATCATTTCTTTTTTAATTTACTGTCTCAAAACAAAGCTTTAGAATGATATGATTTTTAATTTATTATTATTATTATAAGTTACAATATTTTAATTAAATGTTTAGTGCAAAAGTTATATCAGATACCGTTATTTATCAGGTATCAAAGTATTGTAGATAAAATGATAAAATAATAGTTTGCGTACTATAAAAAGGAACTATTTAGTTGACCTTCGTCAGTCCTGTTTTATTCACTATATAAGCGCGTTATACTGTACTTACAGTTAGAATATTAAAAAGTGATCTGAATCATATTTATTTTAGCTTTTGAATTGTATATAAGAATATGCCAGCAATTCGTGATTTCAGTGGACGGGTAGTTCTGATCACAGGCTCGAGTGGTGGCATCGGAGCCGTCACTGCAACAGAATTCTCTAAATCTGGAGCTCAGGTCGTCATCACCGGTAGAAACGCTAAAAACTTGTCAGATGTCGGCAAAGAGTGTCTGAAAGTATCGCCGAAAGGATTGAAAGCACTGGAAGTGGTGGCAGACGTTAGTAAAGAGCTACTGACGTTTGCTGAGTAACTAAGCTGTTATTTTAGTAAACCTTTTGACCTATAAGACCACTTATTGCGACGATATGGAGTGGCCTACTCTATAACTGATGCCAATATTCTGGACAAATATGACGGCGTTATGGCCACTAACCTGCGGTCAGTCGTATATTTGACTCATTTGGCTGTCGAGCACTTGGAGAAGACTAAGGGAAATATAATCAACATTTCCAGTGTTGCGGGACTCAGACCGGTATGAATGCCATTCACTACTAATACTGTCTTTTGATTGTTAATTAAGAACTATCAATATTACCCTGTAGTATGCTGCAATGGCATTGTACTGTATGTCTAAATGTGCCCTGGACATGTTCACCAAGTGTTTAGCACTCGAATTGGGACCCAAAGGCATACGAGTGAATGTCGTCAAGTAATTGAATTAATTTTTGTTAAAAACATTATATTCACATATAATACATGTCTGTCTACCGCCTGTAGTCCCGGTGCTGTGAAGACCAACTTCGGGCCAGCAATGGGTATGTCACAACAACAATACGATCATCTGTTGGAAGACAGGGCTAAGGCATACCCAGTGGGAAGAGTGGGTCAATCTATAGACATCGCGAATATCATTCTGTTCTTGGCTTCGGACGAGTCTTCGTTTGTGACCGGAATCAATGTGTTGGCCGATGGCGGGGGTCTCAATGCACCCGTTCCTGCCAATTTATTTAGACAAAACAAATAGTCTATTTTAATATCACTTTATTTTTCAAATATTTAACAAATTATCAATCAATTTTCACAGTTATTTAAATGATTACTAAAATTGAACAGCACAATATATTTTAGAAAATTAATTTTCAAGATATGCTTTTGTTTTGTTAGTTCTCATAAAATAAAGAAATATTGAGTTCATTAATTATAATATATATTATTCCTTATAAAACTTTATAAACACTTTAATAAAAATAAAAAATGTTTATTATAAATTGATTAAAAGGAATTAAACAGGAATTTGATAAATTCAAGAGTTGGCAACTTTTCGATAATGTAAGTTATATCAAATAATAACAAGTTTATTCAATTTTGTTCATAAAGTAATGTGTTTTATGATAGGCTAAAATCAATGTTACAACTTAAAATATTATAATGTAATTAAGACAGTAAGATTTATTCATTTACAGCAATACTATGATTCATATGAGTCCATGAATATAATTTATCAAATATCCTTGCTTAAAATGATCTGGGAACTAAACTTGAGACAATCTGTCAATCTTCGTGTAACGTTATATACGGTGAGAGAGAGACGTGTGAGTGAGATGTATAACGTGTGAAACATGTGACACAAATGTAAACAAAACATCATTTGTAGTGATTTGGTCTCTAATTTGGTTTCAACCGATTGTCTCAGAAATGCAATCAAACGCTCAAAATGAGTGCAAAGGAAGTGATGAACAAACTATTGATAACACCATTAATGACACGACAGGTAACACCACTTCAGATGACACACAACGCGTGATGTCCAAAAATCAGATGAAGAAACTGTTGCGACACAAGAAATGGTTGGAAACGAGACCTGAGAGGAGACGACAGGAAAAGGAGAGGAAGAAATTGAAGGCAAAGAAGTTGAGGGAAGAGGGCATCGAAATGAAGAGCAGAAGCGCTCTTCGCAAGCAATGGATCCCAATGTCTGAATCCAAATGCAAAGTCTCTGTTTGTATTGACTGTGACTNGCCGTCAATCACGGTTTGCTCTCAAGTGACCACTCATGAGATGATTAGTAGTAATTTGTTTGTCTTATCATTTGTCTAGTGTTTGAAATCATGTTATTGGCGTCCAATGGATCGTCCAGTGATTGGAGTGATATCTTTAAGAAAGTGATTCCCATCAGGAAAATGAAACAATGATTCATTGCATTAATGAAGAGTTTTGTTAATTTTTATTAGAAATAAATTCATTTCATTTGTTAACAAAACTATTGAACCGAAGAATAATGAAGAATAAGGGGTCTATTCAGCCAATACTTTGGATGTGACCAATGAATTCAAGATATCAATTGGCTTTTGATCAGATTTAGTGAGCGATTCCACGCATCCATTGATGGATTGTTTGCCGGTCGGGGACTCGAATTTAGTGATCCATACTATCTCTTGGAAAACGAAATATATGTCGAAGAGATCGTCATTCATGCGGTCATTCATTGCATTTGTCTCCTCTGTAGTCGTGTTTTTCATCACTTCCGCGGACACAAAGTCCGCCAGTTTTAGATCAAATGAGTTCTCATTCTTGTTATCTTTAAAGTAGAGAATGTTTGACGTCTTGATCCGCGAGTGAGTGATGTGTTGTTTGTGTAAATAAAGCAAACTTTGAGCCAACTTTCGGATCCACTTCTTCGTCTCCTTAAGATCGATGAGTTCCTTCTGTTTCTTCTTGTGTCTGAGGAGTGACTGCAGGTTTCCGTCCGCGAGTTCCATGAATAGGAACCACTGGTTCTTATCGGCCAATGCGATGACACAGTACAGCTCAACGATGCCCGCGAAATGAGTTTTCATGAGAACCGCCACTTCCTTGTCGGCGGCCTCGCGGACACTCTTGATGCCTAACTTTTCGCGCACCTCTATGTCGATGAACTTAACGGCAAACTTCTTAGTCTTGTCCGGCAGTGACTTTGGTTGACACGAATCGCATTTGAAATTTGTCACAAACTGTTCGCCATTGAAGTCTTTGCCGAAGTGGCCCTCATATACAGCCCCAAACTCGCCCTTTCGGATCAGATCACCGATTATGATATGGAAGTCTGCGAACAATTTTATTGTCTCTTCCGTAATAACCGTTGGATTATTGGACTCCTTATTAATGCTTTCAGTGCTCGGATGGCTTAAGTCAGGCGAAGACATCTTTCTTGTGATTCTATTTCTTATCCAAACAAAGATCTTACGATAAATAACTGGCAAATAATTTAACGAATTTTCGTTCAAACTTTCAAATTGTTAGATTCAACAGGTAATGGACAGTATGTATAATACAGTAGTGTGCGTTACTAATGTGTGTATGCATTAATGCATTATTGAATGCATGCGACAATTAAAGAATATTCTGATGCATAATGAATAATGAATGTGTATTTTGGTTTTAATGCGAAAGTATCGAGAAAAAGTTGACAACAAAAATTGATAGACTAGTTGACAGAGGTTGTCATAATGTTCATGCAATTGTATGAATAGTTGCCAAGTTGTGGAGCACCCGGGTTGCACACAATGTGATGAATGCATATGATTGCATAACATTGCATTCCTCGTGATTACATAATAGCTGTGAGTCCCCTACAGTCCCCTATGAGTCCATACGAGTGGCAGAGTGTGTGTGGAGTGGAGTGCGTGAGAGAGGCGTAAGAGTGTAGACGTCTGTAGACGTGAGACATAAACACAACAAACACTGAAAACATTGAAATTGAGTCACAATTGGATTAAATGTGAATTGAATTGAAACCCACTTTTGATACATTGCTTTCAACTCAACATATGTTTTGTTTATTTATTTAATTATTTTCATCACATCTGTTGACAAATCACTCACTCATCCACTCATTCACCACTCACTGCATGATATATCGCACTCGGACACGATGGCAATGGTTGACACCATTAACAGACACAACCGTAGTATAGGGGAAGTGACTCGGAAGTGATCGGTGATAGTGAGAGACACGAGACCAGCATTGGGTGACAATGAACGGCATGTGGTGCTCGAAGTCCATGTACACGGAGTGGTCAGTGCTGCGTGTGGTGGACATGTGCTGAAGTGACTCGGAAGTGATCGGTGATAGTGAGAGACACGAGACCAGCATTGGGTGACAATGAACGGCATGTGGTGCTCGAAGTCCATGTACACGGAGTGGTCAGTGCTGCGTGTGGTGGACATGTGCGAGACATCCAGGGTATCGGTGGTCCACAAAATGCCACAAATCAATGGCACTCTTCTGGTGAACTCATGCGTCAAACCATTGGCGCAGATGTTGAACAACGCGTCGGTGGCCAACACCGGGCCGCAAGACAACGACTTCCTCCAGAACGACAGGGATGTGCTGTGGATAATGGAAGTGCTGTGTTATGGGCTGTCTTTGCCGCTGTCATCGGGCGAACAGCACGACTGCGTCAGGGATTGCGTCCATATATACTGCGAATGGTTTTGTGCGTTGAGTCCACAGATGGCTAAATCCAAAGCCATTCCGTTCCCCATCAGAGACGACCCGAACCTCTATTGCCGTAAAATCTTAGAACATATTTACAACATATTCATCGCCCGACCCATCGCTGGCACCGACACCAACGTCTTGGATGTGGTCTCACGTCAGGCGGTCTTATGTCACCGACTGTTGCGAACCATTGAGACCATCGCACACGACGAGCACAACCTAATGGACAGACAGACGTGGGATACTCTCCTCATATTCTTGTTGGCCATCAACGACACACTGCTGTCACCACCGGTCGAGGCCACTGACATCGGAACTCAACTCTGCGAACGGATAGTTAGCGTGTTATTTGAGATTTGGTTAATCGCTTGCGTCCGGTGTTTCCCTTCGCCTTCATTTTGGAAGACATTCCAACACTTGAGTACCGGATGGAGACACAGACCGCCGCTCATCGACAACTGGAACCGAATTAACTATTCATTGACTCTGCGTTTAGTCAAACAAATCTCTCCAAACAGTTATGACATAAACGCCAATTCGCCGACTCTTCAGAAGAACTTCTTGAACACAATCTTGGATGAGATGAACGACGAGACACTCAAACAGTGTTGGTATCGATTCCTTCACACAATCGGAAATCCAGTCGAGTTGTGTTCGCCAGAGATAATCAGTAAAACAGATCGGTTTTATCACAGCGCCTGTGCCTCAGAGAATGTGGTCGACCCCCGACAACACCCGTGTCTTAACAATTTGCCGCATATTTTCTATAAAGCCATGAAAGGACTGTCCATTCTTGTGGACACGTTCTTAGGAATACCAGTGGCTGTGGAGGAGATTGATGCGGACATCTATAAGTCGACGACATCCCTGGCCCTGTCATCTGCCAGTTCTATCCAACCTCCAGCCACTCCTCCAGAAAGACGCCACAATAAGACTGCCTTTCCTTTGACTATAAATAAAGCGCCGAACAAAGCGTTGGGAACGACGAAGAATGTGATCATCAATAAAGCGGAGCCAACCGTCAATCCGTTGCCAACCATAACATACCCGTCGGCTCCGGAGTATATTCTTTCGCCGACGCGTCCGAAGTCGACCTCAATTCTGGACGTATTGGGCGATTGGCTCTTCCAGTCGGCGCTGTTCGGCGCGGATCTGAAAGAACCGAATGAAGCGATGATTCGCTCGAATAGTATTCAATCATTCAATGAATTACAGCGCAAACCGTCGGCAGCTTCTGATCGTTTGCTTATCGAAACGCTACCACTTCTGAGCCCCGATAGCTTCGAGGCCGGACAGGCCGAGGCTTTTGGGGCACTCTGTCGGCTCTTCTGCTTCAAGAAAGCTGACGAAGAGATCTCAACAATGCTTAGTAGACAACCACATCCACCATCCGTTCAGAAGGTGTTTACAATTCGTTTGATTTATATTTGCAATAGTTTTAAGTTTAATATAACTATTATTTTAATAAACTTATTGTCGTTTCAGGTCAAGAATTATTTAACGCGTTTTCATTTAGCCCTTCAATTCGGACTAACGCTCAAAGAAGTAGTTATTTATTGATTAAAAATTTTTGTGAAAGTATTCTTAAATTGTTTTTAATTGACAGCCATTTCGTCGACAAATTATTGCGAGTATTCTTATAAACTCGACCAAAATCTTTGAAGTAGACCTCCCGGGCGGCAGTCTTTTGATTCCCCATTACTTGAAAGCGTTGGAGATTTATTTGATTCCAAAAGAAAAGCAAAAGTAAGTCTATAGTAATTAATTGAAATGAAAATTAATAAAATTTTATTTAATCAACTAAACAGTACGAAACCAGATGTGGAGATCCGTCGCTCATGTATTAAACTCTTGTTATCTCTGTTTTCATATCCCCTACACTTCAACGAACTCGCGATTAAAGGTATTTATTGTTTGTCAATAAGATGTGATTACATATGATATACAAATGTTTGACACAATTGTTGGTTTATATGCTTAATAGAAAACTTAAGTGAAACTCCTTCGACAACATTCCAGTCCCTGCGCCCGCGTCTCATAAACCTTCAAATCCAAGCCCTTTGCGGTGAAACAGACTCCACGAACGTTCAAATGATTTTAGGCGGTTTCCTACTCATGGTTTCCGACGCCTCAGTCCACGACTCTTTCACTCAAATCGATTCCATTGACAACAGCATTGAGACGATGCGATCAAATTCATTGAATGGTCAGTACTCTTGTCTTAGAGAATAATCTATAGATTTAGACATATTTTTATATTTAATGTTAATATTTTACCCGAAATTCAATACAAATGCCACTAAAGAGCAAATGAGATCTGAATCGCCAGGACTTCAATTCGGACAACACTTGCCTTTCGGTCACCAAACAAGTTGTGACTCCAGTTTGGTCTCAAATGATATTCCATTTTCAGATGACGGGAAAGGCATTCCTGGTATTAGAGTTTGGATTCAATAAACATCTCTTTACTAAACATTTTGTTCTAAAGACTAATGGCATGGCTTTCAGACTCTGTTCTCCATTCACTTGATTTCCATAATTTTCTTTATTTTTATATAAGAATGCATTCATTGACTGAACACTAATCCATGGATTTATATGTAGATACAGCTAAAGGACTGTTCGGTCGTACGCTCTCACACGTGGGACAAGTGCTGATCAGATGTCGTGATAAAAACCAATACGATTCACACGTTTCATTGGCAGCTCTGGAAGTGTTGTCATCGATCGGAAGAATCCATTTGTCGAACGGCTCGAAGGGTTCTCTACATACGAATTGTTTGCTCGAATGCAAAGACACAGTGAAACAGATATTCTCGTTCATCGAGAGCCAGTGTGAAAAGCCGGCCCCATTCCACTCCAAAGACCTACATTCCACTATTGTTGCCGCCTATCAATGTCTGGCCGTCTGGTTCCACGAGCACGAGCACCTCCTCAAGGAAAAGGACTGCATTTCAATGCTCTTAGAGGTCATCGAATTAGGCATTTCCGGCTCAAAGTCCAAGAAGAATGGATTTGTGTTCAAAGCCGATAAGCAGCTAAAACCTGCCTCAATGAGGGTCAGGGAGGCCGCGGAATCCTTGTTAACCCTTTTGATGAATCATTTCAATAATTGCCCTCAAAGTCCGTGTCCACCGGAATCCATAATCGGGTCCAGCCTTATAGATGAATCAAATCTATTGAAGTATTTGTCAATTGGCAACAACTGGACGCCTGAGTCCTCTTGCGATCGATTCAAATACTTTGTGAGCGATAACCTCATAATGTTAGCCATTTTGGATCAGTTGGAACCCAACGACAAGGAGACCGTCTGTATAATACGTTCCCCTTTTGGCAAATATTGCTGGTCTTTCACATTCAGACAACTGCCCCGAAAGCACAACATGAGGACACCTGGCGAACAGGTGTCGCGACCATTGCCTAAACCCGAGAGCACACCGACGCCAACTACTCATCCAATCCGTCACTTTCCAGAATCAATGGACAAAATCAAGTCAACCAAATTGTATGCAATTCTAAGCAATTGTCTTTTTATTGACACTAATTATCAATTCTTACATTAAATGGTTAGCGACTGCATTGTTCCCAACCTCACGAAAATGATCGCTGAATCACCCGAATTCAGATCAGATCAAGAGATTATGTTAAGCCTTATTGAAAGAGTGGAGAGTCATATGAAGTATGAGAAACAACGACTTCATAAGACTCCGACACTTAATAGAAGTACGGATTGTAAGGAACCAATGATATCGACTGAGTTGGAAGCGGCCAGACTAGTGCTCTCGCACTTCAGTTTCCTGACATTCGAGACTTTGCAGGTTTGCATACAAACACACATTTGTCTCATTTTCATAGTAACACCAATTGATCACTAATTGATAGGACGCCCCAATGGGACAAATGATTCCATCGCTCATCGCTCTCAACAATAAGAGTCCAGAGTTTGTGTCGAATCTGAAGATTTTGGACTCGATATCGAACCGAACGAGTGATTCGGTGTTTGTTTATTATGTGAGACAAGGGGTGAAGAGCGCCGACGAAATACTTGCAGATAATAAACAGCAGATTGTCTCAAACACTCACTTTCGAGAATTTGTGCTCTCGTTGGGCACTATTATCGATGTGAGGACTCATTCCGGATGGACAGGACATGTGGCGACCGCTTGGAGGGTTGTCACCGACAATACCAGTGCTAAAGAACACGACAAGAATTATACGTTTGACGGCAAACGACACGCTCTCTATTGGGCTGACGTGAGCCACGAATTAGTTTTCTTACTTCCATCCACTTTCAGCCCAATGTCTGACGACTCGATCGATAATTCATCGCTTGATGGCGACTATAAGCAGAGGGCTGTCAGTGATCTGCACGCAGACGCCCGGTCTGTGTCCAGTCTTAGTGACGACGGAAGCAATCCATCGAAGGCTATATCGGAGAACGAATCGACGAGAAGTAGTCTAAGACGCAAATTCCGGAACCAATTACTTCATAACATTGGATGTGATGTCAAAGTACTTATATTTTGGATGGAAAGCACTGACGATCACTACGACCTACCAATCAGTTAGTCCAGCATTTGTTAAGCAATCACTTCTGTTGACTAATTGTGTGAACACTCTTTCAGATAATCTGCTCCTCACGACAGGCACTGGAGTTGAATCCAATTTAAGCCTTTGGAAGGACTTTGTGCTCATTCTTATTCATCCCCTAAAGAATGGTCTCTTCAGGATCATAGTGCAGGGCTCAGGAGGACGGTTAGCTCACATTCACTTCTATTGACACCACAAGACAATCAGTTAATTGTTTGATTCATTTGTTTAGAACTCCAATCACTTTACCACTTATCGATGGAATGGTCGTCAGTAAACATATTTTGGGTACTTTTGTCCGATTGGCAGCTCTTAACATATGCCGGCGCCGACGTCTCGATACTGAAAGGTATGTCATGATTACACACATGAAAGTGAATTCAGTGCTAATCTCTGTAATGGTTGCACCGATAGCTTCCAACCGCCTCACGTCAAGCGACGACTCAAAATCCAAGAGATTGTCAACAAATACCGTCTTTTGTTACCTGAATCTGAATTTTACAATTCGTTATTCACTTCCAAATAGTTTATCAATTGTTAGACAATTAAATGGAGAAACAATTATATATTATATTTCATACATTCATATCATGTATTGGAAATGTACTGAAAAGTAATTTATTTAATTAGACAAATATTTATATACATGTCAAAGGAAACTGTTTTTAATACATTTTTAAAAGTTATATAATTTAAACATATTTTGTGCAATCAATCGATCAAAAAGTTTATCATAAAATTAATTAAAATAAAATTTATTTCATTCAAAATGTATACAAATCTTTAGAGATTTACCATAAGTTATGGTGATTTTCAGTCTACCCATAGCTTAGGGATTTTGTTATCGCCAGAAGTCTTAACCCTTTCAATGGTCTTCAGCACTGAATCCAAGAGCTCTTTATGCAACTCGTCTTCACTCTTATCGGCGCTAATTGTCTGTCAATTAAATCAAACCAATTGATGGCAAACGTAGTGAATGGTTGACATCAAGACATACCTCCCAATAGTCTTCTCTGAGTTTGTCGTAATTATTTCGGACTCTGTGTTGAAATGTCTTCGTCTCGTATCTCTCGTCTCCGAAACCATTTCTGGAGGCAATCGAGTCTTCAGATGCCGTCAAATAGAGCACTGAATCGGGTTTCGGGAGCCCTTTGTCCGACTGTCGACACCATTCAAAGTCCATCCCAGGTTTGGCCGCAGAATAGGCCACTCCTGAGTAGACATAGCGGTCGGCGATCACTGATGTGCCCGAAGACAGCAGTTGTTCCAATTGGTCACTCATTTCCCATCGATTGGCAGAAAACAACAGATGAATCACTCTGTCGTCCAACTGTTGGTCGCCTTTCAAGTATTGGCTAATCATTTGACCGATTGGTGTGACTCTGTCTGGAAAGCGGACCAATTGTGTCGACCGGGACATCGACTTCAGCGCTTCCACCAGACGGACAGCTTGTGTGGTCTTTCCCACTCTGTCCACCCCTTCCAACACTATCAGCGCTCCTCTGCAGATGCTGGCCATCACTCCTCGCATTCAATGCTTTCAAACAAAGAGACAACTCGTGAGGAATGACTCATAAGTGGTATCAATAACTCATAATCAAAGACATTATCAAAACAAATGACTCAAAGTTTGTGTAATAATTAGCGCTAAATATGTGGACAGAAATGATGTCTCGTTTATAGCACTCAATGAAACTGCAAATGCATTGAAATTGTCTGCAAATTGTGTGAATAAATGACATCTTTTTTGGTCAATATTTCTGTTCAACATATTCACCAGAATTGGCGCTAATTTTAAATAAAAAATCAAGAATCTATATAAGTGTGGAACTAATGAGCAAGTTCAATTAATGTTACTTTAAACTTACCTGTACATTGTAATTGTAATTATAATTTCTATTATATAGAAATTCATACATAAATCTACAACAATAAAATTGACAATTATTTGCATGAAGTTATGTATGATTTAGATTTTGACGATTTAAATTCAACAGTTATTACTGGTATTTATCATATAAATGAAACATCAGTTGATTTCAATTATCATTACACATTTACATCTATAACACGATCTTATTTTATAAAATGAGTTTATTTGTGTTGAAATTATTTCTATTAATGGTTTGTGTTTTTGTTAAGAAGACATCGACGGATTGTCCCAAATTCCAGTTAATACAACCACTGGACCAAAGTGTAGGTCTTGCATATGCAGTGGTGGCCAATGGGAGCACTTATATTATAACTAATGATGAATATAATGCTCAAAGTGTGCGCAATCCTCCCCTTCCTATGCCTCCAGGTTTCGCCAATCCGTACGGAATCATGATTTTCGATAATAGGAGTTGTGATCCAAATGATTATAAGCTTTTCGTTTATAATGTAATAAATTGAGTAAAAAGTAAATTGACTTTAGATTAATCAAAATGCATATACAAGGTGACAACGAATGAGCGTGGGGACATGTGGGACCACTACATAACCCTGGATCTCATGAACTGGGATACGAGTAGAAAGTGGTCGGAAGCCACGGCGGTTTTGCCCGATTTTCTTAGCCTTGACGGCTATATGGATTACTATCCCTTCACATTCACTATGTATTGGCAACAGAAAAAGAGTCTTATAATGGTTAAGTTGCCTCCGAGTGGAGCACCCAATCCCCGGATTGATTTCCATACCATTCAATTTGCCGATAACTGTGCTCCGTGTACTTACCTTCAGGACCATCGACGAGGTATTACAAGCATTAAACAGGTGTTGACTCCGTTTGACAACTTTGAGTCTTGTTTTATTGAGAGAGACCGACAAATTATATGCTTTGGAAACCACAGGTTCAGCACTTTTGACATCGATTTCACCCAAACTAGTGTAGGATTTCAATGATTGTCTCATTTCATAAATAAACTATAATATATGCTGATTGTATGAATAGGGCGGACAGATAATAGTTGCAAATCATTCAAATAACACTCCAAATATATCATTAATACCAATATTGCAATCAATTGTAAGTTATTATAAGTATAGTTTTGAATTTGAATTATAGTTACATTTTATATAACGCATAAAATCAGTGCTCAGGACTTTGGACGACACCCGTAAGCACTACTCCGTTGGCACAGAATATTCCGATTATAACGACACAAAGTATATCTTCGCATACATTAGAGTCTAACATCACAACTGATTTTAGTGACACAACTCATGCAAATACAACTGATCCGGTGATAAGTCGTCCTGACAGGTCAAACGCTGTGTTCTGGATCGTTATGGCATTGATTTTGTTGATATTACTTCTACTACTGATTGCTCTCATATGTTGCATAACAAAGAAGCAGAAGAAGGATCAGTTGTCACCAACGGGTGTCTCGCCTAAAAACAGCGGTTTAGACACAAAGTCCAACGCTTTAATGCGTTCACAAATTGATGATAAAAACAAAGACACTTTTAACGAGAGCACAATGCGATCACTTTCTATGAGATCAGAAACAAATATCACCAAAAAGAGGCAATTAAGTGCTCAGAGCAGTGTAGTGGACACAACCAGATCCAATAGTCCCAACATAAACACCACAAATTCAGTGAAAGGTCTATCAAATGTAGGACCAAATATGTCGATGAGATCACTACAGAATATGAATGGTAAACCAGCCATGGATTCAATGAGTGGGGTGTCTATCACTTCAACCGCATCCATGAGATGACAGGCCAATGCAAAAGGCGAAGCAAATCAAAAGAAAACTTAATTTTAAACAAAATTAACACCAAATTCATAAATTCGTGACAATTCTCGAACTAATAGCAAAACTTCTAAAATCCCTTAAATAATTATAATTTATATTTCAAATATTTTATTCATATTTAAATTATTAAATTTATAAATATATAAAATTATATTAATTTGTGACTTGAATACTGATATACAGAAAAATAAAAACAATTTCTACGGTAAGTTAAAAACTATTGGCTTTTGCGGTGCTTTCTGTCAAATGGTTTATAATTTAAGATAAAAGTAATTAAAATCAAAAGATTGATCGCAAGGAATGTTAGGCTTGAGACCCAAACCCAGAACAGACAGTCCCAGTGCTGGAACTCATACAAATAGGCCGGTAATAGCCATTGAGCCTGACTTAAGAGCCAGACAACGAGCACAAGAATCCATTGCTTAGGACTGAGTCTAATGTATGGCCACACGAGAGGCAAAAGACATAAATACCAGAGAAAGTATTGAGAAGTAATCACTTTGTTTAGTGTCACGAAAGCTGTGGTCTGAGCGAAGACACCAAACATCAAGTCTTGGAATTTATGTTTCGAAGACAAACAGTAATACATGGCTATCGACAGGACAGACAGGAATTGGGGAACAAATGCCAGATAAGCGAACAGTTTCTGCTGTTCTTCGGCTTTAAACAAGTGGTAGACATAGAAATACGGACTGAAGTTGTGTTGGGGATCCTTGCGGTGCAAGTGGTAGAGCCAACCCTCCTCTAAGTAAAGCCGTCCGTAGAGATAATACGAGCCATAAGTGGGGACAACGAACCCAATGGCAGCCGACGTAAAGAACTTCAGTTTTTTCACATTAGGTTTGAAGGCTTTCCACAGTTTCTGACTTTTAGTTAAATAGAGATAAAGCGCCGGAATATAAACGATTGGATAGACTTTGAAATGGATTACAAATCCATACAAAAGTCCGCCGAAGACTAGCTGTCGATTGAGTACACATAAGATGGTTAAGAGGACTAGTGTTGTGACCACAGACTCAGCGCTTCCACGCGTCGATATGATGGCCGGTAATGGATTGTAGAGCCATATAATGGCACACCATTTGGCTCTTCGTTGGTCCAAATGGTGGCCACAGATGTGATAGACAAGAGCGCCGGTCACGACATCCAACACCGAAAACAAGACTTTCCCAAACTGTGGCCATAGAGTGATATTAGGCACAAGAAGTGCGGCAATGAGTGGTGTGTATCGGTAGGTGTCCCTCAGGTATGGCGAGCGTCCGGCCCACACATGTCGGGCCCCGTCGCTGAAGATGGTGTAGTCGATGTCCGTATACTTGAGAGTCAGGTATTTGTCTTGAATTTCACTCAATATAATCAATACAAGTCTTATGACTAATGCATACAACAAATGACTAGAAAATGAGTGTTTGTTCACAAACTTTGCGATCGTTTTCAACATTTTTGGCCTTAAATTGCAATCAATTATTGATTTTGTTTACAATTTCATGCATTCAATGCATTGAACACATGCTTTGGTTTATATTATGACCATAAATATTGTCCATTAAATGCATACATAAATCAATCCCTTTCTCTAAAAGTATAATACAATTGATGTAAAAATGTTTGAAAATCACATTTTGTTCCCAATGTCTGTATTTATGTAATAAAATTAACACGCATTTATATGTAACTCAAATATAACGTAACAAATTGTTGTGTTTTCAAACCCCTGTCTATAGAAACGAATGCAAATCCAATGGCAAACAAAGTGAGCCCTCAGTGAAAGTGTGACACAATTAATGAGTGAATATTGTGCACAATATCTCACGTTTTGAAATCAATTCGGTGTTTGACATGAAATTCAATTGAAATCACATTTAATTAGAAATAGTTTTACAATTAGTTTATATATATTAACACCAATTGAGTGGTCAGTGCTTTACTCTTGTGATAATGTCTCACATCAATGGTAAGCATAGCTGCAAATGACACGATTGCCGTCACCTCCAAAGCACATGTCACTGACTTTGATGTCCGACACAGAGATGTCTTTAGTCTGCATCGAGTCCTACGACATATGGATCCATAGACTGCTCCAGAAGTTAGGGCTCATAGAGAGTGATGACCCGTCGGGTGGTGTCGTGGACTACACCGTCGACGACCACTTGAGCGAAGAGTATCTGCTGGGACTGGACCCGAAGGACTGGAAGAATCAGGACCACTACCGGATCTTCAATATCCACAACCGATTCTATGCCACCGCCGATGACGTGAAAAAGCAATGTAGACCTCATTAGAGCCACCCATTGGTCTCATTTGCCACCACTTATTGTGTTGTATTGTCTGAACAGATCGTCTGAAAGTGCTTCGACACCATCCGGATAAGAGGACGTCCGCCACGGGTCTGCCCATTGATCTCGACCTCGACTACTATTCCTGTATCACTAGAGGTTTGTATTCATGCCATCGATTGACCGCAAGAATGCATTTAATGTGAATTGTTTTGGTGTGAAAAGCGTACGAAATATTAGGCGATCCCATCAAAAGGAGATCCTATGATAGTATTGACCACACATTTGATGACGAAATTCCATCCATTAATGCCTCAAATAAATCCAATTTTTATCGAGTGTTTCGTCCCGTCTTTAAACTAAACGCGAGGTATTGTCCATTGATTTGTAACCGATTGTCAAACTCTTAGTAAACTTTTGCGATACCTATGGATCAGATGGTCTAACAGACAACCGGTGCCTGAGTTGGGAAACGAGCGCTCAGACGTTTCATACGTGAATAAGTTCTACAACTTCTGGTATGACTTCGACTCGTGGCGGGAGTACTCGTGGTTGGACGAGGAGGAGAAGGAAAAGGGAGAGAATCGGGAGGAGAGGCGATGGATGGAGAAGCAGAACAAAGCCGCGAGGGCTCAGCGCAAGAAGGAGGAGATGCAACGCATGCGACAACTCGTGGACAACGCCTACCAATGCGACCCTCGGATCGCACGATTCAAAGAGGAGGAGAAGCAGAAAAAGTTGTCCCAAAAGTTGGCGAAACAACAGTCCATTCGTGAGAAACAGTTAGAAGAGGAGCGACTGAAACGAGAGGCCGAAGAGAAGCAAAGGTTAGAGAAATTGGAAAAAGAGAATGAATTGAAGGCTAAGAAGAATGAGGAGAAGAAACAGAAAGAGTTTGTGAAGAAACAGATCCGAAAAGAGCGCAAACTATTGGAGACTATGTTTGAAACATACGATTATTTCGCCAAAAATGAGTCCAAAAGAATTGATAATTTGAAAGAATTCGACAAAATTATCAAAATCTATAGTTTAGAAGAATTGCAAACATTTCGAGAAGAGTTCTCGCGATTAGAGAGCGAAGACTCGAAACGAGACTTTTTCCTCAAGAAAATCGATGATTTGAACTCAAAGTTAGATTCGGAGCGCATCGGCCTCTCGTCGGCCAATAACTCAACCAATGGTCAGACGAATAACATTTCATCCAAAAAGAACTGGAGTTACGATGACATCCAACTGCTGATCAAAGCTATTAAACTATTTCCTGCGGGAACTCCAGACCGATGGGCAGTGATTGCGAAGTGGGTTAACGATAAATCCACGTCTGGAGTGGTTAGAAACCATAGGGACGTCATCGCCAAAGCTAAGGATTTACAGAATAACGGTATATATTATTACTGACGAGGAATAAGATATGACTTATGCTGACGAATATGTTGTCTCTGCAGATCAGTCGCAATCGCTTAAAGAAGAGGCCAATAAGAATGCTTACAAAAAACTGGACGATTCGCACGCAAACAAGACAACAGCGCCGGTAGTCTCGGATACATCGACTCCGAGTCAGAGGTTTGACGGTATGTATGCTTTTGAGACGAGATTTTGTGCAAAACTTGACTCAACTCTACTTTTGATGGTCAGCGCCGCGCACTTTGGTTGACCTGAACGCCAACCCCTGGAATAACGAGGAACAGCAGCTCTTAGAGCAGGCGATGAAGACATACCCGACATCACTGGGCATCGAGAGATGGGATCTGATTTCTACATGCATACCAAACCGATCGCGAACTGATTGTATCGCAAGATATAAATATTTAGTAGATTTGGTCAAATCCAAGAGAGACGCCAAGACTGCTATTCACACGAATAAGAAATGATTTTCACTTTTATTTAAATTAATTTCCATTTTAGTAATAAATGTAATTATTTTATGAAACTATTAAATGAATTAATAAATTATCTGAAGAGTCAAATTGTGTCTCCAATCCATTCCTCCGCCACTCGTATGTGTCGTACTTTATGTGCGTTTATCACACCAACTGAACCGTCAGATTGTGTGCCACTTCTCGACGACAACTCACTCTTTGATTGCAATTCATTTGATTCATTAGTCCATTGATTAGACCATAAGATATGCCACTAATCCGTAGACTAGTCTCCAGTCACCGATCGATCGCAGACTTGGATGCCTTCACCAAAGTTGACCACAATTTCACCAAAACTAGTGCAACGGGTGGAACAGGTCTGCAGATATACGTCCATTAAATTGATGATAATTTGTTGATTGCATTCATTGATTGTCATTTCAAATGCCTTTTAGTGTCGCTATTGAGTTACGCATTGATTGTGATTTTAGTGATGTTTGAGATATCACTGTATATGAAGTCCAGAATCAGATTCTTGTATACCGTGGACACGGATTTTGACAGGTTTTGTGCCATTCATTCACTCATTGATTGCTTTGCAAAGACATGATATTAATTGCGATGACATTGTATTGTCTTGAACAGTAAACTACAGATGAATATTGACATCACTGTTGCCATGAATTGCGAGAGTAAGACCTGATTTGGTGATTGATTTGAATTAATGTCAAGTTTTGTATGAAATGAAGGCATTGGCGCCGATATCATGGACTCAACCAATACTAACAACGCCTACACTTACGGCCGACTCGTCGAAGAGCCCACACATTTCGAGCTCAGTGTTGGCCAACGATCGCAATGGGATGTCATCCGAGATGTGAACAACTATTTACGTAATGAACATCACTCTCTTCAGGAGGTCTTATGGAAGTCAGATGTGTTAAGTCAGCGGAGATATGGCCGCGATTTGCCTCCGCGGGAGACACCACCCAAAGGAGCGCCCGATGCGTGTCGTCTCTACGGAACTCTGGTTGTGAACAAAGTTTCGGGAAATTTCCACATCACTGTCGGTAAACACCTACCGATGCCTTTAGGACACGCGCACATCTCACTGTTCACCAGTGAACAAGGTACTGTACTGTACTGTATGCCATCCCATTCCCTAACATTCCTCCTGTTTGTCCACAGAATATAACTTTAGTCACCGAATCGAGAGGTTCTCATTCGGCGAATACGTTCCCAGTATTATAAACCCATTGGAGGGCGAAGAGAAAGTCACGCAATCAAGTATTGCATCCATTGTTTGTTCTCTTAGCCGTCATTTAACCATTGATTGTCTCCATTAGAAACTCAATTATATAACTATTACTTGAAAGTCATGTCAACTGATGTGCAGACATCGGAAGTGACACTAAAGAGCTATCAATACTCGACGACAGAAAGTGAACGAGTGATTGACCACAACTCCGGGTCGCACGGAATGCCCGGAATATACTTCAAGTATGATATCGACGCCATTTGCGCCAAAGTAGTTGAGGAATATGTGCCCATTTGGAAGTTCCTGATCCGCTTGTGTGGTATCGTTGGCGGTATTTTTGCCATCTCTGGTCTCATCAGTTCTGTGGCCAATGCTGTGGTCGATGTGATCACTTGTAAATACATTCATTCCAGCGTCACATTCAAAGACGTCGACAACTCGGGCTTCCATACAGTCGAAGACTTTTCAGTGCCGAGTGATAACGTGTCGCTCCTCTATTCCTCTGCTTCTGTTCCCCAACACAACGGAACAAACCAATGATTTTGACCCAAGAATTTGTTTTTAATTTATTTTTATTTATTAAATGATTTGTAAATAATGTTTTCATAAGTGAATCTCAAACAGATGTCTATTTTTCATAATATAAATGAATAATAAAAATGTGATGCAAACCACACTCGTATTACAAGACTCTTACAGCTAAACGCAATTTAGCGGATCTGCTTCTGGGGTTTGACAGCACTTCCTCTTCATCGGCCAGAATAACGCGTTTATTAATAGGTTTCCAGCTTTTGTTCAACACTTTTGACAATTCATTTTCATCGGGAATCTCAAGAGAACTGAAATGTTTTGATTCCAAAGATGTGTTTAATTCAGTTCCGATGAAATGCTTTTTAACGATTCGGTCCTCAAGTGAGTGGAAAGAGAGGACAGCAATGACTCCGCCGTCGATCTCATCGTAATTATCGATCGATTCGTTTCTGTCCGACAGATCCGTATTCTTCATGGGCTTCAAGTAATGCCGGATTCGTTGCAAACCGTAATTCAATTCATTCAACTCGTTGTTCACGAAGATCCTGATGGCCTGAAACACTTTGGTGGCCGAGTGTTGGGGTCGACCCAACCGGTCGAAGGACTGGTGGTTTGCGCTCACATTCGCCACCAAATGAGCCAATTCTGTGGTCGACGACAACCTCTTCATAAGGAATCGCGAGTCGACTATTGTCTGCGCGATCTTCAGCGCATACCTCTCTTCGCCGTAAATCTTAAAGATTTTGGCCAAATGTTCGGCACTTAAGGTGTTGACCACATCCGCGGCCGTCGGCATCGACTCAAACCTCTGGCCATCCATTCGCATGTCAAGGGGTCCATCACTGCTCAGAGAGAAACCTCTTCGCGAGTCATCGAATTGCATGGAAGAGGCGCCCAAATCCATGATCACGCCGTCCACTGAATCCATGGCCACCCCTTCGGCCGCCATAAGGGCCGGCAATTCACTGAATCGGCCCAACAGTGGTATCACTCGCTGTCCATTCGCTGCGATCAGTTTACTTCGCGACAAATGGACAGCCCTTTCGTGAGCGATCGGATCCCTGTCCAGAGCATAGACACAGATCTTCTTATTGGTGGCCAACAAGTGCTTCGTGTGTCCGCCCGAACCGAAAGTCATATCTATGAAAGTCTGGCCGTCTTTGGGCCGAAGAGCGGCCATAATCTCGCGACCCATCACTGGTTTGTGGCTTAAAGTGACACCACTTTCACTCTTGAGTTGTTGTCTCGCATTTTCGCTCAAATGTCTGCAGATTTGTCTCAAATGATGGCATTTGAAACGAATCGGCGCTGAAGACAATCCGTGAATCACTTGTGACTGCATTTCATCACATGTTTTGTGTTGACATTCAATGAAAACAAACAAACATTACGTAAGCCTTAAGTGAATGCAAACATCCATTCATTTGACACTCAATTCAAACACACGTTTGAAATGCATTTCCAAAGAGCTCTTCGTTTCGCTATTTCTTCACATTTTATGGTATTTTGGGTTCAATTGAAGTCATGTTTAATGAATTGATTGTCATTTGATGTTTGCATTGAAGTGTCAGACGAGACATTTGGCCACAAAGTTGGGAATCGCAGGCGTGAGGCATGTGGTGGTCATCTCGTCGGCCAAAGGAGGTGTCGGCAAGTCTTCGACAACTGTTGGGTTGGGAACAGCTCTCAAACATCTTCATCCAGTAATCCACTTATTTACTAATTGTGTGACAACTCTACTAATGGTTAACTCATCTCCCGGTGCCATAGAGTCTTGAAATCGGTATCCTTGACGCCGATGTCTTCGGACCATCGATACCACTGATGATGGCATTGGAGGGAAAGCCAGAGATCACTAAACGTATGTATTATATGTTAACCAACTTTTATGTATAGTTTTATTTATTCTTTAATTGTTTGTTAACTTAGAAAATCTGATGAAACCGTTGACTAATTTCGGCATAAAATGCATTTCAATGGGATTTCTGATGGAGAAGGAGTCGGCGGTGGTCTGGAGGGGTCTTATGGTTATGTCTGCCATTCAGAAGCTCTTATTTGGTGTGCAATGGGGGCCATTAGACTACCTGCTCATAGACATGCCTCCCGGCACGGGTGACACTCAGCTTTCAATTGCTCAGAACATCCCGATAAGTGGTGCCGTAATAGTGACAACACCTCAAGACATAGCTCTGATGGACGCCCGAAGAGGCGCCACAATGTTTGCCAAAACAAAAGTTCCCGTTTTGGGTATCATTCAGAATATGAGTGCTTTTGTGTGTGAAAAGTGTGGACACGAGTCGCATATTTTCGGACAAAACGGCGCCAAACGGTTAGCCGAAGAACTCGATATTGAACTCTTGGGTGATATTCCTCTGGATATAACATTAAGAGAGTGTTGTGACAGCGGACGGCCCATTGTGTTAACGCATCCCAACAGTAAATGCAGTCAATCTTATCAACAAATCGCCCAAAAACTAATCGAAAAACTCTCGAAAAAAGAGACTCAAAAGGATTTACAGAATTAAAGTTAATTTTATTGTATTATTCATTGGACGCAAAAATTGCTGTTTTTCTCGTTTCAAAAAATTACATTTGAATGAAAGGAATGTTTATTACAATTATTAACACAAATTAATAATCAAATCGATTCAAATAGTTCATTATTTATAACATTATAATCCCTTTTATTTACCAAAAGAATCCCCAAAAAACTTCTGATTATTTCCGTTAATAATAATTTATGTATAAATACAGTAATAATAATAGTAATAATAATCTTAATAATAATTTTCTCTTTAAAATCTAAAAACTATTCAATTAAATGTTAAAAGAAATTGCATTTTCGTTGACGTCGTCTCTAAGTAATAGAGAATTCAGTTATGTTTTAATAATTATATTATTATATCGTTTAATATTTTACGGCAAGTTTGCTTTCAAACAAGTTTTCAAATAATTTATATTATAATAAAACGTTTTGTAGTTAGAAATCGTGTCTAATTTATCATTTAGTTATCAAATATCGCACACAATAATAGAGATAAAACTTACAGAAAAACGACTGAAAAAACTTTAAAGTCAGAAAAGTCTGACACAAATGGCGATTGAGTTTCAGTAATTTTCCAAAATAAATGTATTCAACAAATCAAGAATCGATTCGTAATTCACCTAAAAAACAGAGAACGAGTTCTTCGGCTCTATTTTCTTATAATATTTTAAGTTAAAAGTAAAACTAAGACTAGAGTTGAGGCACTAATATCTGCTGCTGTACTCGTGATGCCATCGATTAAAGTCTATGTTATAAATAATTAGTTTTCCGTTTTCGAGTCCAATCAATAAATATTTGAAATCAGTTAAAGTCATGGATTTTATCCGATTTTGTTCGCCCGCGAAGGCCGTCGACAGTTCCGATGTGTTCAACGCATACAATGGCGTCAAATCAAAAGTCCTCATTATCTTGACGGCCGACCCATTCTCTGTCATAACGATGTACTCTCCGTCGCGAGTAGTCAGCAGTAAAGTGGAGTCCCTGTCCTTCGAGAACGAGATGTTTCCGATTTGTATGCATTTAATCAGTTTTGATCTCAAGTTATACGAGAATAATAACGCGTTTTGTTGCTGTCGTTCGGGTTTCGATGTTTTTAAATGCTTTTGTGCGGAACCGGGCTTTGAGTCCTCGTAGTCGCTGTCATTGCTCTGCGGTATAGCTATTCCCACAATAAAACCCAATTCTCGGCATAAAACCAGATTATTGATGAGATAATCGGTTTCGTCAAATGCTGAACAATAGTCTGTATTGACTTCATTGGATGTCATACTCGATGTGTCGGCTTTGGTGTCACTCTTGGCATCGGGTGACTGTTTGCGAATACTCTTCGACCCGTCCTTTCCCAACATCGATGCCTCTAAGTTGGCCTCTAATGCATTGCAACCAATAAAAGACAATTATTACACAAATACAACAAAATATGATTATTAAAACCAACCGTTTATATCGCCCTCAGGTCTGCCCTCCATTTGTTCATCAGCTCTGTTATCGGAATAACTACTAATACTTCGAAGTGTTTGAATGGAACCCCTTTTCCTAATATCTATTTCGGTGATACACTCGCCATGACTTGTCGTATGGATTAGTATTGTGTTACGACTGGCGCTAACTATAAGACCTAACTCTGCGCTGATTAGCAGAGAGATAATAGTGGACTCGTGTCCCCAAAGAGTTAGTTTTGGCAAAGGATTGGACAAATTGGAAGCGCCGTTGCCTTCAATTTGAGCATATTTTGCATTCCATGTCCACAATAGCACTGAACAGTCCTGACTACCGGACGCCACGTAGAAATCTGCGGCGACATTGCACTCGCTTCGGGCCAAACAGCTAACGACCCCTCTGTGGCCGTATATAATTTGCGTCAGTTTTCCCGTTTCGGTCGAATACACGCGGAATGAATTGTCATAAAAAGGACACATAATTATATGTTTGGCGTCCAGAGTGACGATGTAATGGCTCTGCGATGATGTGCACAGATTGGTTGTGTCCAAGAGTTGGCGCTTCATATTAGAGGCGGAAGAGATGAGCGCCGCATCCATTGTCAACGGAGTGGTCGACTCTTTAGTGTTCCATTTGTGGAGATAATACTGTTGGTGAGAGTTGATGGTCACTATCTGGGAGGCGGTGTTCGGCTGCGCGTTGTGTGCGGCACAGGAGGCGATGTGAGTGACCGCCGCGTTGAACGGGAACTTCACGGACATACACACCTCGTCCATCACCGGTGAGAACATGAGTGGCGACACGTGGAGTGCACTGCTTCGGGGCGGGTGTGGCTCTGAACTCAACTGACTCGGCGTTTGTCCGAAGTGTCGGATTTGCGATTCAATGGCTTCTCTGAGCGCAAAGTCGGTCACATTCGACAGGTCTGTATTGCCCTCATATGTCAGATAATAGAACACATTGACAGCTCTGATGGCTTCCGGACCTCTTTGCTTATATCCAAAGATCAAATCAATCCATTGGTGTAATTGACACGAAACCAAATCCGACTCCAATGCCATTCGATGTAATCGTATGAAGTGTTCGGGAGATTCGGCCCAAACCGGGAGCTCCACGTCTTCCAAGATATGGTTCGAGTTTAGGATTTCAGGCAAATAGAAGAACTCAGGAATCAATTCCTTGACATTCTGTTGGCCGCCCATAAGGGACGCGACCCATGCGTCGCGAATGGATGTGAAAAGTCTGGACTCGTCTTCGAGACGGCCGTCTTGTAAGGACAGGTATGTTGAGTAGAATGGTTGCAGTCGTATGAGCCATCCCAGTGTGAACGCGGCGGTTGAGTAGTGGGTGCCGTAATGGAAAGCCGGCACATTGTTGTTGTTATCCCACGTGTTGTAACGCTCAATAAAATCAGCCCTTCTGTCACTATTGAGAGCACCGATAGGTTTGGAGAGGTCTCTGAAGTTGGTTGGCTGAGCCAAATCAAGTTCACTGCTCTCATAGTTAGTCAAAATCCAGGGAAACACCGGGTATTGGTTGAGGTCCTGATAGGTTCTGCCGGCGATTGTGTTCAAAAACATCAAATACTCAAAGTTACTGATCTCTCGCTTCTGCCACTTCTGTGTCATATTGGATGTCGCGAACAGTTGTTTCGGTGACAATAGCGACGCTCTCCTGGACTGAGGAATGCCATACTTGACGCCCACACCCACTGGTGGCAAGTATTTGACCACTTTCTTGACGGTCTCGTAGTCGGCGAACGCAAACATAATAGAAGTCCTTTGGGCTAAAAATATTTCGATAGCGTTCTGTTGTAATAGAAATCTTCGCGTAAAGACGGCTCGGATTTCGTTCAGAAGAATCTTTCCATTATATGTCAAAAGATCGCAATAACGCAAAACCATTAGATCCAAGTCTTTGAAACCTTTTGACCCTTTAGAGCCAATACCACTCAAGCCTTTCATGATATTATCTGTGATCTCACTTTTAGACAGCTTTTTATCCAACTTCAGGACAGAACTCAATTCGATTTCATTGCTGTGGGCCTCGAAGAACAGCTCATTCGCTGTGATCTGAAGTATGCCTTCGATGGCATAAATGCCCCAAATTAGGGAACAGTCGATAGTGAAGAGAACAGAACCACTGAACTCTGGATTTGTCTCATTTTCTTGAGAAGAGTCTTCGGTCTCCCATAAGAATTCCTCCTCCTCTTCAGCTCTCGACGAAATGTTTAGCGTTTGTTTCGGTGAAACTAATGGATTGGCCATCGCTTCATCGTTGCTCTTATCTGTCGGACTCTCATCTGTATTCGAAGCTTCTGCTGATGTCTTAGTATTAGCGGTTCCATCGGATGAACTGGAAATAGGCTGAGAATTGTCTGGAATTTGGTCGACACCGAAAGGATCGCAAATGAATCTCCGTTTGCGTCGGGCGTCGTCTTCCCAAGAGTCGAGTTTATAGTGTTTTCTGTGACCGCGTTTCAGATTCTCTTTGAATCGCGTGAATACCATCCAATCGCGCCGTTTGGCCGACAGTATCAACGAATTAATGAGTGTCTCCTCATGAGAGCGACTCTCGTGTGTCTCATAACACGACTGACCAAACGTCTCGTGTTTGGATACGTCGTCGGCTCTCAAGCGGTTGAGTATGAACTCCGCTTCCATCGCAACCCTCACGATATGGTCTTTCATTGCGTGCGACAGAAGTCTTCCTTCGTTTATGAGTTCAATGAAAGCGAGTCCTGCGTTCTTCTGGAGTGTGTTTTGCCACTCTTGGGAGCACAACAGCATCACTAACTCGACGGGACTGGCGTTCGAGCGCCGGAATGTTCGGACGGCTTCTTTGCTGACCAGATCCTGTCCGTGAGAACCGAGAAGTGTTTTTGAGAGGAAATTCGCGAAATCGCACATAATTTCTCTGAGAAGCGGACAAACACTAGAGAGGGTTGTCTCGAGTTTTGCTGTCAGTTTTTCGCCAATATTAGAGTCGATGTGAGTTTTGGGTATTTCTATGGGTTTAATAATCTCTGACGGGTCTAAACTGCCGGCGTCTATGTTTTGTTCGGTGTGTGATTGGGAGCTGTCGTTAGAGGCCTGAGAGTTACGTCGACTGCCTTTTGTCACTTGAGCACCACTTTTGGGTTCAATAATATCTCTATATTTCGATACCATTAGCACTGAAATGAAATAAAGCGTCGCCAACGCCAAGAACTGGGACTGACGGGTATCGGCGTCGGCGTCTCTATAAATACAGGCCCTCAAGCGGTTGACATCCATTTCCTGCAGCAGACGCATTGGATCTTTGATAGGAAGGGGTTGTATTGGAATGAATGTGGAAACAGTTTCAGAATCAGAGCCGTCTGTCTTGAAATTTGTGACCAAATCGCTGGACTCGGAGGAGAAGTCAATGCCAAAGAGCTCAGCGGCCGCTGCGATACTCGTGCCCGCATTGAACTCATCCTTAACTTCCATCGATTCAAAGTCGGTGTCATTTGTTAATCCATTTTCAATGTGCTTCTGAACAGTCAAGCAGTTCTTGACGGCAACCGTACAGACAAGTCGTAAACACTGTCTTAATATCCCTCCGGCGGACATATTCTTCTCGGCCTCCAATTCGCCGAAGTTTACATGAGTTGCGGCGAAACATAAGATATCGATTAGATTGACGAGTCTATAGAGCAGTGAATTGGCCTGAATTGCAGTCAGACCCTCACCACCGGCCGTAACATTAGGGGCGGCGCTGTTTCCTCCCGTGGCCGCAGCCAATAGAGGCAGGAGTCCACCCGCGGCTATAATTATATTATCACTCAATTGTGACACTAAATGAATAGCGTTAACAATGTATATCTGATTCTCTGAATGTTGAAGAATTTGGTCCAATTGTGTGCTTCGTTGTGATCCGGACTCAGACTTATACTCCGAGCCCTGACTTCTCCACATCTGGAGATCACATTCAATGGAAAACAGTAAGTCATTCAATAGTTTGAGATGCAATTGACTCCAACGGAACTCTGGAATACGAAAGGCAGGCGTCGCCGACACTTTGGGCGCCGGCTTTTGGCCTAAAATTAGTGACGAATAGAACTCTTTTTGGGGATTCGTTCGGCGACTTCCGAAACGATTGCTTCGTGAGGGCGCGCTGTCAGGAACTACAGTATTGGACAGTTTGGGGTCAGTGTTGGATAACTTTGATTCCGTATCTATAGAACTAATAGTACTGATGACGGCTTCTTTCTTTTGAGCCTTTTGTTCGTCATCTTCCTCTTCATTACCACTAATATTATCGTTGCTTTCATCCACTTTTGTCACTCCATTTGGATCACTATTTTTGGCACTTTTATCACTCTTTAAACCCTCGCTATTATTGTTATCTGTAGTATCTTTTGCTGGATGAGCAGCTCCGGGAGCAACTGTATTCAACTCGCGATCATCTTCGGGACGGGGATCGTCTTCTGGACGGCTGTCTGTTTCGTCGGTATCCACCGTTTTATGAGTCGTTGTCTTCTCTGATGTTTCGCTATTTGTTTGCAAATCCTTGTGATTCAAGTCCTCACTCTTATGATGGATAGACTCGTCTTTCAAAGAATTACTTCCAGTACTGGAATCCCCAGAAGTCCTCCTTTCGGCTCTGAATTCGCTGTTCCTATGAGTCCTATCTCTGCCGAACTGAGCCATAAACTCGTCGAGACTGACCTTTGCGTGAATAATGGCCAGAGTGTCGATCCATACCCTCCACCCCCCGTATTCGTATTTGATTGCGTGGTACAGAAGGACCCGGAAAATGGCTAAAATCTGATCTCTGGTCACTTCGACGTTGTGGTCGATGAGGTTTATGAGCCAATGCTGCCAAACAGACATCTGCAGTACCAGACGCCTGTTCTCGCGGTTATTCACCAAAAGTCTCCACAAATCGCTGATAAACAGTCGTTTGATATCCGGGTTCGTGTCGTCGCTTTCGTTTGGCTCCTCTTTCTTGCCTTCGATCAGAAGAGTTGCGATCACTTTGAGAACCATTGGATTTTCGATGCGAAGACTGGGGTTACTGGAGTGGGAGGCTCTGATCGTCTCGATTGCCGTTTCTGTCAAAATCTCGTGCAAAGCATTGTACGTATCGATCCTCAAAGGCGTGAATTTCATGAGATGTTCGCACAAAAGCATATACAGGTTGTGCGGACCCATCACGTCCTGCTTGCGCTTCGGTGTACTTCTCGACAGAAAATAACCCAACAGTTTGAGCGCTTGGATACGGATCTCCTCGTTCAGCGAATCGATTAGTTTGAAAACAGTTTTAACGCCGTGTTTGGCATCAAAGGCTGGTATCATAGAGGCCGGGTGTTCGCACATAAGGGACTGTAGCATTTGCAGGACGTCCAGAATATTCTCGTCCTCGTTAACTGTTGTCAAATAGTTAAGAATGGCCTGAAGTTCGTCCAAATGAACGCCATTTCCTTTCAATATAAGCTGTTTTATAAATAGCAGAATATAAGAGCGAATGGACAGCAATTCACTCTTATTTGGCCGCAAAGACATATCTTTGGCCTTCACTTGAATAGACTTCTCCTCCGAGAGCCAGTAATAGTATTTAAGGGAATGTAATAATTGTAATACTGTTGAGATACGTCTCACTTCACTGAAAACTATACCATTGGACACATTGTTAGCACCGGTAGTATTATTAGTGCCATTACTAGCGTTAGAGCCGTTATTACCGCTGAGGAACTCTGTGGCCAAATAGCAGTATAGCCTCAGCTGTAGCTTAGAGTCAACGTACACCCAAAGCGAGGAATTAAATAAAATACTGTCCATTAATTGCTTCAATAACAGAGAGTCAGCACCAGATGAAGCACTGATCAGAGTTTTGGTTAAGTTTAACAATATTTCCAGCGTTTCTTCGTTTATCAGAATTCGTGGACTTTTGGCCAAAAGTGAGGAAATAATGACAAATCCGTGCGACTGAACGACTTCGTTGCCAAACCATTGCGGGGAACTCTCTAACAAATCACATATGAAGCCAATTAGTGTAGAACAGGCCTCGGCGTCCGACCGGTGCGTAAAGCGGTGAAGGAGTGGCAAAAGGGCGCGAATGCCGCCAATCGACTGAAGCGTTGAACTAATTGATTGTGTTTTTATAGAAATTGTTTGACCCAATAGTGCCGCGTGTGGTGAGGATGTGAAGTAAGTGGTGTTCCCTTTGGGGGTGGACTGCAGACAGAGTGTCTCTCCCTCTACGGCTACGGGAGTGTAGAGAGAAATAAGCGAAGAACTCAGTTTCTCCTCATATAAGACCCGTTTCATAACCATTGGTAACTCGAGTTGACTTTCATTGCTGTGAAGGTATTGACCGATATATGACGGCCCCAACCGATGGATAGCACAGATTTGGCTCGCATTGAGTGCCTCGTGGAACAGATAGATGGCTGACAACTGACCATTGAATAGGTGGGACTCATTGAGGTCAGCGGTGCCCCCAATAAAGCACTTATCGAATATGTCAGACGTCTGGACACTCCACGCAATCTCGGTGTTGGCGGTCATCTGGCCGTTCACATAGACCTTCACCTCAGCGCCCCTCCATTTGGTCACATAAGTGATGGCGCAGTGGAACCATTTGAATGGACTGAACTCATAGGGGATGCAGTGCTGGAAGCCTTTGCCTTTGATCTTCATTGACGTCAAAACCAGACAATTGCCGGTGAAATGAGCCGAATATCCGACACCTGTTTTGCTGGTTCTGAAGAAGTATAGATAGGGCTGCGAATTGGCGGCATTGGGCTCCAGACGGAACCACGTGACGAATGTCCAGCCGTTCTGAATCGGCCACTTCTGGATGGGCGGCAGAGCCAACACCGAACCGGTAGAGCCCGGAAAGGCAAAGAAAGCGTTCGGACGACTTCTCTGCAAAAGATTCGCGTTTCGCACGTAATGAAGAAGTCTGGGGTCGTCTTCGCTCTGCCGTAACAACGCTCTCAACTCCCGGACGTCACAGCTATAAGACGTCTGAAGATTAATTATTTCGCGGATGAAGTGTTTGATGAGATTATCGAAATGGAAAGTCTGTGTCAATGAGTCTAAGAGCAGGCCTTTGGCGGCCTCTAAGTTAAGAAGCGATTTCTTGAAAACTGCGATCAAAACACTCAGAATCTCTGCCACAATCTTCGACGGCAATAATTTGAGATAATCTCGAAAAAAGAGTCTCAAAGTCTGTGGTTTACGTATTCTTTGCAAATCATCGGTGATTAACAAATGAAGAATGTTATCAGTGATTGAATTGGCGTCTTGACTGTTGTCCGACGACACGATTGACATGATTTTAGCGCAAAGTAAACCAAACTTCACTTCATCTGAAATACTGCTATCGTTTATCACTTCTTGTAAATCACTCGGAATTGGAGCCGATTTTGGGCTTTTTGATGGCGAAGCTGTCGGCGACGCTATCGGACTCTTTGTGGGGGTTTCCGAAGCAGTGGTCGACTCTTTAGGTCTCTCATCGTTGGAATCATTTGCGACATTTGTTTCATCACTTGTTTGGATCACATTATTTAAATCTGTGGACAATTCGTTAGGTTTTGATTCATTGGTTTCATCGGACGTCTCATTCGCTTCATTGAATGGATTCGTGTCTTCGAGTTTGTCCTCATTTTGTTCGTCCGATTCGTCAAACGGATTCAAACCATCACTTTTGTTGACACTTTGCTCACTCTCTTCGGGATCACTTTGCGTCACAATTTTATCGTCAGTTTTCTCATCACCGCTGCTCTTGGGTTCGGACACCACCGATGTGTCAGCGATTTGAGCCGCAATCTCACTGCTATTGTCAATGTCTTCATCTAAGTTGATCTCATGCGTCGTGTCGTCGCTGAGGATCTGTTGAGCGCTACCCGGTGTCGAAGAAGTGGTCGACTTCTTCGATATAATATTGCCATCGGTTTCATCTGATGTCTCATTAGTAGACTCTTGTGGAGGAGTTTGTGTGACGGGTTCACTAGTGGGTGTTAACTCCGGATCCACTGATTGCTTATTATTATTATCCTCGGCGACGATCTGTTCATCACTGGCGACGTCTTCATTGTGGACAACAACGGTATCACCAGTGGTATCACCAGTGGTATCACCAGTGGTATCACCAGTGGTATCACCAGTGGTATCACCAGTGGTCTCACAATTGTTCACATTTTTAGTCAAACTGTCATTAATTACATTATTATTACTATTATTCAGATTATCATCACTTGTGGTCTGATTGTGAGCGTCGGTGTCATTGATGACAGCGTTTTGGTGACCAATGTTTGCATTCGTCTCTTCATTCTCATTCATCTCACTAATGGTTGGACACAAGAAGCGATTACAACTTCATTCAAATCACTAGACATCACATGAATTGGCATTTTGTTGACGTTTTGCAGCCACAGAGAGGTATCGATTATTTTATTGATTCATTCATTTAATTAAATTCAGTTTCGTTTCATTTATACTTACATTTATGGGTCTGAGAGACAAATCGGTGTAAATAATGGGCGGATATAATCATACGACAAGTAAAATGTGTTTTAAATACTCAATTAAATGCAACTCTAATGCTGTGTGCAGTGTGTTGTGTTGGTAATGGCTGTGAGAAACATGTCATTAGTATTGCATTCAATGTATTCACTGCTCTATGCATTACAACAGCACTATTCTGGCCATACATTCACTGCTTATGCGATACAACACTACAGTTTGCGCTGTGTTTCATGAACACATACACATCACTCTATCAAACATCTCATACCAAACCCATACTATAATACACTCAATGCACTGACAATTGTATAACCGTGCACTTTATTTCCACATAAATCCTATTGCAATTACTATTGTATTAATCATTCATTAATTATCAGAACTATTTTTACAATTGTTTTCTCGTTTTTATTGATTTGGGTTTTCGTAGCCATAAAAACAGGAAATATTTTTACGCTCTCTATTTGCCTGCGTTTCGTAAATCAAATCAAACGCTTAATTGTCTGTGAATTGTCATAAGTATCTCATTTGAAAAAGTTTATGACAGATATTTTTAAAAGGAAAAGTTTGAGTACATTTCTACTGCATTTTAACTCTAATGCTGTGTGCAGTGTGTTGTGTTGGTAATGGCTGTGAGAAACATGTCATTAGTATTGCATTCAATGTATTCACTGCTCTATGCATTACAACAGCACTATTCTGGCCATACATTCACTGCAAGCACTGCTTATGCGATACAACACTACAGTTTGCGCTCACATATACACATCACTCTATCAAACATCTCATACCAAACCCATACTATAATACACTCAATGCACTGGCAATTGTATAACCGTGCACTTTATTTCCACATAAATCCTATTGCAATTACTATTGTATTAATCATTCATTAATTATCAGAACTATTTTTACAATTGTTTTCTCGTTTTTATTGATTTGGGTTTTCATAGCCATAAAAACAGGAAATATTTTTACGCTCTCTGTTTGCCTGCGTTTCGTAAATCAAATCAAACGCTTAATTGTCTGTGAATTGTCATAAGTATCTCATTTGAAAAAGTTTATGACAGATATTTTTAAAAGGAAAAGTTTTAGTACATTTCTACTGCATTTGAATGCTATTGTCAATGAATGGCCAGACTATAGAGTATTATGCAAACAATATGAGTAAAATGAAAGTATAATAAAACGTATGGAAAGTGTAGTGAATGTTGAGAATAATGTATTGTAATTGTAGTGAATATATGGAAATAAAATGAATAATTAATAGATTTAACAAAATAAGTGTATTAAAGAGAGAGACTGTGAGATGAAATGCACTTTTATTGCTGTCTCAACACTCGTTGAAAATTGTGTCCATAAGACATAACACAAGAATTTAATAAACTTTGAGTATTTGTCGTATTTTAGCAATTTTTTCGTCAAATATTTGCCTCAATGTGCGCTCCAATGGGTTTTGAATCAAACAGAATATCATTAATGACTCTAAACTCGAGTGACATTTAGTTCTCTTTTGCTCATAGAATATAAGAAATTCTGGTCTGTCTTCACATTTATATCGATCCCTTTCTACCTCTTTATAAACCATAAGTATATTTGTCTTCACTTTAAACCATATGAAGAGAATTTATGTGAAACACACATCAAATGTATAGAATTTTAAGTTTTCATTTGTATGAACAGTGAGTTTTTAGTTCATTGATATGAATGTATGAAAAATGATAGAAAGATGTCCTGAAGTGAAAATGAGAGCAAAAGTATTAGTTTAAGTATAAAATGATTGTGTTTTTCATAATTATATTTTTAGCGTATATTCACTATATAGAGCTCAAGCGAAACGAAACTTCCGTTAATAGAGTGACACCAATAATACCTGTAATACTCTACAGTACTGTATAAGGCTTTATAACTTTAATCAAAAACTCAAATTATTTATTTACTAAACCTATCATTCGAGACAAGTTATGCCTTTCATGGCTTATACACTCTATTTAACTACAGGCGCTATCATACAGCTTATCATACTGTATTGCATGTGTTACATAACTTATATGCAAAGCTTAGTTCACAAACTTTTAATTGAATTTCTAATCCAATAACTTATAATACAATGAACACATACATAAAAATAGGCATAAATATAGACAATGGATATTATGATTTTTGGTGACCAGAATAAAATTAAGTTAAATTAAATTCATTAAGAACTTATTCCACAACGGGTAAGCTAATGACATTTAAAAAATATAATGCACGTTGTAATATGGCCCTGATCAATAAATTGAAATTAAAATTATTTATGGTCTACAATATTTGTGATGCCGTTAAATATTTTAATAGAATTCACTCGAGAATTATACTGTATAGTGTACTGTATAGTGTACTGTATAGTGTTAATCATTTATAATATACAAACTTTGTCTAAATAAACTATGAGAGTTGAATTATTGAATAGTTTATGCTGGTAGCTGTAACTTAATATTAACAATACACAGAATATTTTAGAATATTTGCATATAGAATATGCTGCTACATTATTCTGTTCATATTTATACATATATTCATATTTACCAGTATAATTATAATTTATAAGAATTTTCTAAATTATTTAGATTATAAGAAGTACTGATTTAATATTAATATATTCATTACAACAGCTTTTTTGACAAAACAAATATCAGAATTAAGTCAATAACGCGATTCTGTTGGGTAAATACAACTGACTGTGAAACTCAATAATAACACCGGCAGATATGAGTCGGTCACCTATGCACTGTAATTGAACATGGTCATATCATTTAGTGACTAAATAGGTAATAGCATTTTGCAAATTGCAATCAAAACAACAACAAAATGTTTGAACATTTAACATGAATTCAAATGAGGACTCGGATTACAATTACATTTGATTGCAACCATCAAAAAGTCATTATTTGTAAGATTAATATGTTTCAAATGGTTTTTATAAAACTTTTATTTTTATATTATATCTCAATGTATATAAAACAGTATTCATTTTATAACAAATTATTATTACAAATAATAAATAAATGCAAATTGAGTTCAAATACATCATCAGATTAATGAACAGATTAATTGAGTAATTCATAAAACTATCACAACTTTATCACAACCCGTGGCCCATAATCCGTGTCTTAATCC